ATCTCGAGACTCAAACCCGCTACCTTCCGGCTTATAGCATATATATATCAACTTACTATTTAAAAACTGCATTTTGCACGTGCAATGTAAGTTTATTTGTGTCTCGTATTATTCTCACTATAAAAAATGAACTTTTCCCTAAGCAGCATTAACCAGTCCGTGTCTGTAATGGAGATGTACTTCGTTTGACGGGGAGCTACATTTTTACATATTATTATGCGACTTTCATGCTCCAAAAAGTTAATTTGTAAAATTAATGCACCAGTGTGATTGACGTGTTGAACGAAATCAGCGTCATCTTCACAATCAACTTCAAGGATTATTCGCAGCGCATTCTTCACTGCTCGAATGGTTAAGCCACAGGAGAATTCGTTGCAACTGAAGCCGGTTGTGTGAAGGCAGACGGAGTTGAGTCCGGGATCCAACTGTATCTGAGCCCACGGAGCGCGGTTTGTCGGTCGGGAAACTGTTACTGGTCTTCGCCACCAAAGTAATTCTAGGTTCTGGGCTCCTCGAGACCCACGAGCGTACTTATTTTCTGTCTCAGGACTCTGACTCAGATGGAGAAATCCCATGCCTTTTATGTCATCTCAAGGTTCATTACCATATTCACAAAAGCCCGCCACTGAACCTTAAGCTGAGACACAAGAATGTAGTCGCATCCTCACATTCGTTTTATCTTATTCCGTGGATTTAGTCCGCAAGCCAACTATAGCGACCGAGCGACCGTCGCTTGTCGGCCAAGTTAATGCCAATTTTAGCGGATAGAAGGTGTCGAGTAGTCAGTGCAACAGATTGCCACGGGCGTTAATTTCGGTTTTCTAGACCGGAACCGCTATTTATCCACTCAAGTAGCTCCTCAGTTATCCTCACGAAGTTGAGTGGACTCAATTCCAGACCCACTACTTCTCAGAAAATCTTGTAGCAGCCGGGAATCGAACCCGGAACCTCTGGATCTGTATCCAGAAACTCTGATCACTAGATCAAAGTGGCGGTCTCGGTATATCTCAGATGCATTTAAATATTATCCTCCAGAATAAGCGAAGCGCTCGAAAGTGTACTCATCGCCTGAGGTTGTCAGACTAATTCACTTAGTGGGGGGTGGATTCCAACTGGGTCCACTCGGCACGGCGGCCACTGATTGGCGTATCGTACCTGCCCCGGGTGAATATGATCATGGAGAATTTGGTGGAATGAAGATTGGCAGGGGAAACCGAAGTACTCGGAGAAAAACCGCCGCAGCGCCACTTTGTTCACCACAAATCCCACGTGCACAGACCCGGGATCGAACCCGGGCAGCCGCGGTGGGAAGCCAGCGACTAACCGCTTGAGCTACGGCGCGGCCACTCTCTTCCCACCGTCCTTACACCCAGCACATCTCCTCTTCTTAGATTTGATCACCCGAATAATTTCTAACGTTTAGTGAATAGGACGAATTTCCTTCTCAAAATTTTTAGATGTTCTCGGAAAATGCAGGAAGGACGTTTATGCTGAGGCCGCGTTTGTCCATCCATCCATCTGCCTCTGACATAGTAGCAGTGCTGAAAACATTGAGCAGATCACGATGGAGACTTTTCACTTAATATCGATCAATTCAATCATACTGTTCCACAGTAGAGTCCTGCTTACTTAAGCCACAGGTGTAAATTATTTTTAAGCAAGGTGTAGTATATTCCTAACCCGGCTGCCCGGGTTCGATTCCGGGTCTGGTCAAGTGGGATTTGTGATGGACAAAGTGGCGCTGGGGCAGGTTTTCTCCGAGTACTTCAGTTTCCTCTGCCCATCTTCATTCCACCAATTGCTCCACGATCACCCTCACCTTCCATCTGGGGCTGGCACAAAAGGCCAGAAGTGGCCGGAGTACAAGGGACTTAGTCCCACCCCACTAGCAATAAAGAAAAAGAAAACGTTTCGGATGAACCTGCTGCCTCTCTCTCCATGGTGTAATATCAAGGGACAGGCTTTTACGAAACGTTTTTACCCATCTACCAACTGAAATTCAAGAAGACGGTACTCTGTATTCGATCAAGACAAAAAGCAATAAGGAGTTTAGAGAGCACATCATGCAGGCCTGAGTAAAACAAATTTCCCGTTGTTTTTTACGAGAAAGAACCCTGACTATGAAGTTTGTACGTAACAGAGAGACGACTGGAGACGCATATACAGTTTCATGCGTAGGCTACGTTTCATGACATAAGGTACATTATTAGGATGATAAAGTCAAGGAGGATGAGATGGACAGAACTAACAGCATGCATCGAGAAAGTGACAAACTCCGTGGTTCTAGTCAGCAGGCGAACTATACCGACTGAGCGACCTCCGTTTGTCGGGGAAGTTAGTGACCGCCTCTGTTGTCTAGTGGTCAGAGTTCCTGGCTACAGATCCAGAGGTTCCGGGTGCGACTCCCGGCGCTACTAGATTTTCTAAGTAATAGTTCTGGAACTCCACTCAGCCTCGTGAGAATAACTGATGAGCTATTTCAAGGAAATAGCGGCTAGAAAACCGAGGTTAACTTCCGTGGGGATTCGATGCCCTGACCACGCTACACCCTCTACCCGCTAACGAGGTGATAAATGCGTGCAAAATGTTCCTACCTTAAGGGTAGATGTCACCTTGGGGACCTAGTCGTAAATGCGAAGAAAATATTAAAGCTGTGTATAGATTGTGGAGCGGATTCATCTGGCCCATGACACGGTTCAGTGGGAGGTTTTTGTAAACATACGATTTCCATAAATGCACGGAATTTGCTGGTCGCCTAGGCGACTATCTGCTCCTCAAGAAGGACGCTGTTCCATGCCGTTAGGCTCCGTTGGATAGGCTGCAACGCATCTGATCCCATTTTGGCTAGAAATACTTTTAGGATTAAAAGTTTGTATGTGTGCATGACTGAAGGCAGTAGATCCAATGTGGCACCTTTCTGCGTTGGACACCCTTATAGCCAGGTACGAGAGGGGGAGGGGTTAATATTTGCTCATGTGGAAATAAAGCGTACGCGAAGGATGTTACCCCATGCTACACAAGTCAGCCAGTGTTATGATAAGTGTTCTTAATCAAGGTACAGTCGGATAACGGATTCGCTTCCAAAACGCTATGACAGCGACGTAGAGGAACGTCGTTACTGTTCTCTGCAAGCGCGCGCGGACACACACACACACACACACAGTGCCATCCAGCATTCCAAGACTAATCGGATTTATTCTGATTGTCAGGATTACTAGGTTTTCGGACTTTGTCCCTCGTCCGGTATTCTAAAACAAGAGAATGCTATGTTGCAGGAACTGAACCTGTTTCTGTCCTCGGATGAGGGTGAAGACATCTACTGTATTGGGCCCCCTAAAAAGAGTTAACCTTGATCACTTGTCCAGTGATTAAGCTGAACTCTTTCTAAGAGGCCCAACTGAGTATGTGTCTGCCTCCTCACCTGAGGACGGAAACAGGTTTAGTTTTCGAAACTTTTTTTTTGTGCGTTCTATAATACCAGACGATGTACAAAACCCAGGAACGCAATAATCCTGAGTGTTATACACCACCGTCAGAACCCTTTAGATTCCACTTATTATGATGGAATTTATAAACTAGATTTTCTGAGAAGTAGTGCGTCTGGAACGGGGTCCACTCAGCCACGTGAGGATAATTGAGGAGCTATTTCAAGGAAATAGCGGTTCCGGTCTAGAAAACCGAGAATAACGGTCGTGGGAATCCGTTGCGCTGACCACGCGACACCCTCTATCCGATAAAGTTGGCACTAACTTCGCCGACAAGTGGCGGCCGCTCGGTCGGTATAGTTCGCTCGCGGACTACAGGCAACGAAGTTTGTTATTTGTTTGTAAGTTAATGTTTGTTTCCTGAAATCATTGGAGCAGTGTAAGCCATTTTCCCTTGTAAGAATTTTTCGTTTAAAGTAAACAAAGCCTACGTTAAGATGCACTGAATGTATTGTGCCCTGTTGTGGTAGGCCTTGCTTGCTTCATCGCGGTTGAATAGGCATCTCCCCAGCTTCGAGCGTCGATGATCGCGGATTCGTATGAGCCCACAGACCGGCTGCTCTCCTTCAGGCTTTCGTGATGTTCCTCAGGCCCTCAAGGAATATACGGGGTTACTGCCCCAAATTAATCCCCTGTCTCTTCGTTTTCCCAACCGTTCCATTTCGTTAATAATCCAGTCATATGACGCCATTTCTTTTCAGTTGTTCTTCCAGCCCATTCAGTGCCCTGGCCTCTTATTCAGTTCCGTAATCATTTTTCACAGACGGTAGGACTCCTTGGACAAGAGATCAGCCCGTCGCAAGGCCTCTACCTAAACACAGAATAAACGCATATACACATACAAAACTTACACGCCTTGTGTGGGATTCGAACCCACGTTCCCAGAGTTCGAGCGAGCGAAGACAGTTCATGCCTTAGACCCCGTGACCACTGTGACCGGCTATTTGACGCTACAGGCCTTCAAATCCCAAGTAATAGAAGTGCCCCTAAAGAAACCAAGAACCAGGCACAGATTTAGGTGCCATCGAAGAGGAGGCTTGCTATCTTTTGGGATGTGCCGCCGTGTAGTCCGGTAGTTCACCTTATACCGGACTACACGGCGGCACAACCCAAAAGATGACACTTTTCATAGGCACCGCTGCCAGAACCAAAAATCCAAGTTGTATTACAGCGGCAGTAATTCATAATTTAAAAATAATTTTCCTATAAGCTGAGATTACTCTGAAGGGTACAAATTGTGGCTCTTCGTTACGTATTTGTCTCTGTTCCCCCGTTACTTCATCTGTGTTGGTGTGCCCCTAAACAGGCTGATCTAACTTTCCTCAGACTCATAGCGGAAGAACATAACACATCCAACAGAATTTTCCCCCCTCTGCCGCTAAACCGGCTGCGAAGATCGGCAGAAAGAGAGGGAAACGGAATGTGATTGCGGGGGGAGAAGGGAAACACCTCGGTCTGACTCCACCCAGCCGCTCGACTCCTCCTCCTGAGAGACGGACCCGTGGTGTTGCTGAGCTGGGAGGTGATCACTACCCTCCCGAAGCTGAGGTTATGGTCCCACTACTGTGCTAACGGAGGTTAAGTGCTCAACTCAAAATCGTGTTTTAAATCTGGGTTACGTGTGGCAGTGTGCTGTCTGTGTATTTCTTTACAGTTCACGTGTGATACGAACAATTATGTTGTATTTTATTTTGTCACATTTTTCTAGCGTCAAACATTTTGACTGGGAAATACTGGCATTATTCAGGAATGTACAGTTTTAATTTTGTGTTTATGGTCTTTGCATCGGATGTGAATTCTGCACGATTTCATCTTCAGACTTAAAAATGTAAAGTTACGTTCTGTAGGAAGATGTTATGGATGGAGCGTTCATGGACAACGTCAAGAACTGCAAAAAAATACCGGGTCGAACATGCATAAACATGGATGCTGTCATTCGCAATTTCTTAACGGACCGCTCTGAGATATACCCCCATTTACGTTTCTGTCATCGCTAATGATACGGCAAACATGCTGGGTGAGTAGAACAATTATTTAATTAATCACTATTCTGATAACATGGCCAATCAAAAGAGGGAGACAATAATTATGAAGAGTATGACGTGTAATAACCGTTTGAGAGCCATATTTGGGGTCTGGGAACTGTGGGTTAGGTGCCTTCCCCTCGCCGATGTGAACCCAAATGATTGCCGCAGTACTGTCTGGTACCAAGAGTGTCTGTGAACCGCGAGCCGAGGAAGTTATTCGGCGCTAAAGAACAAATTGTTACAGAAAATTACATGGGACTACCGCGGAATTGCACAACTTCAAATCTTAATTTAACAGGCCTACTGTCCAGGCTACTAAAAGAAGGAATGAGTTTGGATGGACATATAGCACGCATGTGGCAGAGAAGTTGGCATAACGTCAAGAAAATTAGTCAGAGAAACTAGGTAGACCCATAGAAGGAAAGATAACATTTTTATTGATCATATAGGCTTAGAAGATAGAACATTAAATTGTGCACTAAATTAATCTGGGTTAGGGTAGGGTGCTTGTAAACGTGGAGATGAACTCCCGGGATTCATGAGAGGAAATTTAATTACCAGCTGACTGAGAGTTTTTTTTTGCAAACATGCAGTTCCTAGCTAACTCCACGGAGCTAAGTGTTTCTTGAGTAACCACCAGTCGCTCATCCATTCAAGAAACTTTATGGAACCCGAAGGTTCATTACCATATTCACAAGAACTCTTCACTGGTCCCTATCCTGAGCCAGGTCAGTCCAGTCCATATCCTCCCATCCAATTTCTCTAAGATATATTTTATTATTATCTTTCTACGTCTAAGTCTTTCCAGTATTGTCTTTCTGGCTTTCCCACCAAAGTCTTATATGCACTTCGCTTTTTCATGCGTGCTACGTGACCTGTCCATCTCACCCTCCTGATTTGATCATTGAATTATATTTAGCTAAAAATACGAGTTATGAAGATCCCGTAACTTCTCCTTGCGTAGTGCTTAGCCGCTTCGTGAATGCAGTCATACAGTTTACGCAATTAAATGCATGATTCTGATGAGTTTTGTTTCCAAAAGAACATCTACAGTTGAGCCATAACTTCACTCCTCGATCTGTTCTTCGGCGCACCAAAAATTTGCACATTCTATACAGAAACATGGATTACAAATCATGCCATCCATTGTTTGATTACGGCAGTTCATTAGATGGATCTTAAAGACAACGACTGCAAGTATGGGAGCGGATGAAACTGGCTCTGAGTCGTGTCCAATGGTGGGCTTCGATACTAGCTGCTTTGAACCTTCGGGATCTGCTACTGGGTGGTTAGTTAATTAGGTAAAGTAAAAAAAAAGGTAAAGCAATTCTTGTAACAGGCGGTGGAGGCCCATAGGGTTGTGAGACGTCGAGGCTCCCACATTTTCTAGACAGTCGGCTCACAAGTGGCGGTAAGGTTATCAGCCCCACGCGCCGGCTGCCCTTCACCCTTCAGGATGATCCTTGGTACTTATTTCTGTTAAGGGCTGAGACGACACCAAGACCATAATAGGGCTGGAATTAAAAATAATCCAATGACCTCGTCGGGAAACGAACCCTCGACCTCCCCGCTTGTAGCATAGTGTCTCAACCAACTGCGCTACCGCGTGCCCCAAAACGAAGCTCATGATTGGCTAACTATGAGTATTACTACTGTGAGTGTAAATGTTAATTATGACTACAACAAAAATAATGCAACTAATGATAATAATAATACTAATACTAGGACGATGCTGCTGCTGGTTGCTCTTGTCTCTCCTACTGCCACTATTACAGTTACCAACAACAACAACAACAACAACAACAAGACTTCAAGAGCCCCATAAAGCCTGTAGACATTCCCAACACAGGCCCATAAACATAGCACAGATCCCAATTGGAAAAAACAAAAATATTGTTTTTCATAATATTATATTTCAGCATCCACTTGTTTCCGTTTCAAATGCAGCACAACTTTCATTTTAAAATGCCATTAAAATCACAGGGGCACGAGGTAGCGTAGTTGATTGAAGCACTTGCTACAAGCCGGAAGGTCGTGGGTTCGAGTCCCGATGAGGTCATTGCATTTTTCCAATTTACCTAATACTTCCAGCCGCACTATAGCCCTGAGGTCGACTCAACCGCTAACAGTAATGAGTACCAGGAATATTCCTGGGGGTAAAGAGCGGCCAGGGCGTAAGTTTGACAACATTACAGCCATCTGTGAGCCGATTTTCTAGAAAATGTGGGAGCCTCGTCGTCTCAGAACCCTATAGGCTTTCACGGCCTTTTGCAGGGAGAACTTTACATTTTACCTTTAACGTTACAATCACATTTAAATTTCTGAGAAGTTATTAAAGATCGCCTATGTGATCTAGTGGTCAGAGTTCCTGCCTAGACATCCAGAGGTCCCGGGTTCGATTACCGGCGCTACTAGATTTTCTGAGAAATAGTGGGTCTGGGACGGGGTCCACTCAGCCTCGTGAAGATAATTTGGGAGCTACTTGAATGGAATCGTAGCGGCTCCGGTCTAGAAAACCGAGACTAACGGCCATGGTGATCCGTTGCGCTGACCACGTGACACCCTCTGTCCGCTAGATTTGGCACTAGCTTCTTCGACAAGCGGCGGTCGCTCGGTCGGTATAGTTCGCTTGCGGACTACAGGCTATGGATTTTGTTTTGTTTGTAAATGTCATTAAAATCATATTCTCTTCTATATTTCGGCCCTATAAGGAATATAATGGATACGCGCTAAACTAGAAAGAGCTACGCACCAGAGGAACGCAGCTTGGACGCCACAATATGACAGTAGCTTGAGTGAAGTGTGAGCGTACATTCTCAAACAATGGTGGCGTGCAGTAGCAGCATGCAATGTATTGACATACGAGCGAGCTGATGCAGTGCGGTAGTTTCAGTGATTAAGAGTTACCTGAGGATGGTTTTATAGGGCCGAAACCTGTCGCAAGAGTAAAATAAAATGGGATTATAATGACTTTTAAAATAATGTTTACGTTGCATTAGAGACGGAAACAAGTGGACGAGTGATGGAAAAGACAAATTATGATACCAGATTTGGAAGTTGAAGGTGAAAGGAGCGGGACTTCATGGGACGTATACGACATGTAAAATTTTGATGGCTGTAAGGATTCAGGTTGTGGTTATCTGGGTTACGGCACCGTCTAGCCTGGTACATTATTACCAATGTAACAACAGGAAGTAATGGTACAATTAGGCCGCGCCATAGCTCAAGCGATTAGTCGCTGGCTTCCCACCGAGGCGGCCCGGGTTCGATCCCGGGGTCTGGTCAAGTGGGATTTGTGGTGGATAAAGTAGAGCTGTGGCGGGTTTTCTCCATGTACTTCGGTTTCCCCTTCACGATATTGTGATAGATTACTCGACATAGAGGCATTCTATGCGGTGGGTGGCTGGAGCTCAAATCCCAGCAGGGTCAAGACTTTTCTTCACGTCATCCAGACCGGCTCTGGGGCCCACCCAGCCTCCTGTCCAATGGGTACCGGAGGTTCTTCCCTCAGGAGTAAAGCGGCCGAGGATTCAAACTGATCACTCATCTCCATCTAGTGCTGAAGTCAATAATGGTGGAGGTATACCTCCACTCCCGCGTCTGTCTTCATGGCATAGTGCTTAATAATTAAGTACAGGGAGAACTTTACTTTTTTATCAGTAGCGTCTAATGGTTCGATAACTGATGAATTGAAAGGGATTTAGAAAAAGCGATCGTGGCATGATCGAGACACTAACCCTGCATTTGATTAGAGGAACTGAGGAGAACCACGACAACCATGGGATAGCCAGTGTCCAGACAGATATTAAAACCGAACATCTCTCGAATTTAAGTCCAGTAATTTATCGATAGACCATCCTGCTCAGTGATTACATTTTCAGGATCGAAAATCTCAGAGGGAAACAAGTATCTCTGAAACGTCGGCAGGCTACGTTGCTCGGTCGTCTTGCCTCAAGTTAGAGAACAACCAGTATCCGTTTGATAGACGGCTGGTTTGGTATTTCTGGACATAGT